AAAGGGCAGAGCAGCCTCTGGGAGTGACATAGGATGTTTAATTCAGCAGCAGAGTAGATCACGGATGTCAGTAGGGAGAAAATGCGGGAGATCAGTGAGAAACTTATTGACGTCATCCTAAAGAAAGGCAAAAAGACCTAAACACTGAGAGTGTGTTGGAAACTGAAGAAAAGAGATTTTGAAAATGACATGAACATGACTCATGTTGGAAATGGAATAATACTTGAGAGATAGGGAAGGACATATTGGGAAGACATTTTTCAGATAGAAATTCATAATTTTCCTTGCTCTCAGGGAAGAAATGCTTCCCCAGGTGAGCTTTGGTGTAAACCAAGTTTGGAAAGCAAGAAAGAAGCTAGGTCCCAGAGAAGAGAACAGTCTGCAGAGAAGTAGGAAAGCTAGTCAGATGGCACAAAGGGCTGTGGTCAGGGGAGAAAGGGCATGCCCTCTAGGGTCTTTTCTGCTATAAGCTGCAAGAAACCCCAATTTCCCTGAGGCTATCTGAGCAAGTTTATTTCCAAAATCTATTCAGTTATCTAGCCGCTAGATTCTAGCATAACATTCACTAAATGCGTACTAAGCAAGGGTGAGTAAAGATATTCCGAGATTGCTAAGTAATACTCAAAGGTCCATCTAACTTTCAAAAGCAATGGTCTTAAAAAAGGGTATAAAAATCACTTGGGGGTATTTTTCAGAAAAGATGTTTCTAGGAGTTATCTGTATAGGCATTGTCACAATTGATCTAGGGTGGGGGACAGGCAAAAATAGTTTACAAAATTTCTGTGGGTACTTAAAACTCCCTCCCTTGATTAAGAATGTGACAGTGTGGCCTGGCCAGTGTGGCTCAGTGGTTGAGCGTCAACCTATGATCCAGGAGGTCATAGGTCAGGGCACATGCCTTGGTCAGGACACATGCCCTGGTTGCGGGCCCGATCCCCAGTGTGGGACATGCAAGAGGCAGCCGATCAATGATTCTCTCTCAACATTGATGTTTCTCTCTCTCTCTCCCTTCCTCTCTGAAATCAATAAAAATATATTTTAAAAAAATAATGTGACAATGTGCTTAAAAAAGAGAAATTCTCCTTTCAGGCTCACACGTACACACATGCATACACAGCAAAAGAGAAGTTCCTTTGATGTGAACATGACCACATACACCCATCTCATGGCTCTTTAAAGAGCCAATTAAGACCAGAGGCTCTGGAGTCATATTTCTGTGATTAGAATCTAATTTTGCCACTTTTTAGATGTGTGACCTAGAACAAGTTTCTTAACATCTCTGTGCCTCCATTTTCTCAACTAAAAAATATAAAATGATAGCAGAAGCTATTTATAGGGCTTGTTTAGTGAAAATTAATATAAAGTCGTTAGATGCGAGCCCGCCGTACATGAGGCACTCAATCTAACCACCTATTATTATTTAGAGTTTCTAGACAGCATCACTGTGGGCTGCCATGTTCGTTGCCTAACTGATGTTGGCAGAAGCCAGAGCCAGTGATGTCCAGCCTCTTATATGTCATTAGAGGCCCGGTGCATAAAAATTCATGCACTGGAGGAGGGGTCCCTCAGCTTGGCTGCCCCCTCTCACAGTCCTGGAGCCCTCAGGGGTGGGAGGCGACCCAGTGATCATGGGAAGGTGACATCTCCATCACACCTCTGCTGCTGCCACTGCCAGCAGTGCAAGCCTGGTTATCTGAGCCTCGGGCTGCTGGGCAGTCACCATCTGAGACTTGCCTGTGCCTCGCCGGCCCTGCTTGCCTAAGCCTCAGTCAGTGGGGGTTTCAGGAGGACCTGAGGCCCCTGGCAGGACTGAGGGGACTGGGCACCACCATCATGTGGCTGTGGGCATGGCCATCTTGTGAGGGCATGATGGTCAATTAGCATATTCCCTCTTTATTATATAGGAAAATATAACCAGACAAAGAAGAGTGAAGTGTGGTTACCTGGCACAGTGTCTGACTGCAGAAGATAGCAATATGGACCTAGAGTCAGTGACTTGAGAGGATTAAGTGATGGGAAATGGGA